ATGACTGCATCAGTATGCAGATACCATTTTTGTCGCTCTCTCCTTCAAAATTAAGGCCACAAGGCACCCATTATGAAATCTCAAGAAATTCCATTTATGCTGGGTGGAAGAGTAAAGTCTAAATAAATTATTGCTTTTTCATCTTCATCCCATTCCCATTTTTTGCCCATTTTAAAAATCCATTAGAAAGGATCTAATTTGAGAACAGCAAGACGGAAAATGACTGGCTGCTTCCCAAGGCTATGTATGTAACATCTGCTTATTTTTCTCATCTGCATTCTCAACAATGCTTAGCTTAGGCTTTCAAGTTCAGGGCAAAGTCCTGGGAATCTTGGCTGTCTTTTGAAAAGCAAAGCATTTGTTATTATAGATGTGAAGAGGATCTAGGCGATAGAGAAGCAGCATGCCTTAGCACTTCCGGGCATATCTTTCACTTAAGCCCTTCCAGCTCATATGTTTGTGCTTGAATCGGCATAGATACCCAGCAGAGATCTGGGTGAATGTTACCAGGTGGCCACTAAAAATGTGACCTTTCCAGGTGAACTTGGAGTTACCAGCTCAGGCAGGCATCCAGGGAGAGCCAATGTGGTGTATGCTTAGAGTGTTGGGCTAGCTGAAGAATGATAGTCCTCTGTACCAGATCAGCCTCTGTATTAAAGGACTGGGCAGTAGCCAATGTAGCATCAATTTTTAAAAAGGGATTGGTGGGGGGCGATCAGGAGAATATAGGCTGCTTAGCTTAATATCAGTTCTAGGTAGATTGGCTGCAATTGGTTGAGAGCTTTATTAAAATCAGTAAGTACACAGAAGGACCAGCCCTGCTGAAGCAGAATCAGCATGGTTTCCACAAAGGGAAGTCCTCTAACTAACCTATTAGGGTTCTTTCAGAATGTCAGTAAACAGGGGCGATCCAGTAGCCATGGTTTGCTTAGATTTATTAAATTAGGCTATGGAATTCACTGCCACAAGAAGTGGTGATGTCAAAGTTGAACAGCTTTAACAAGGGACCAAACAAATTCATGGAGAAGGCCATCAAAGGCTACTAGTCTCGCTGGCTATGTGCCACCTCTGTTATCAGAGGCAACATGCCTGTGCACACCAGATGCTGTGGAAATCGGGCAAGAGGAACCCTTGTGCCCGTCCAGCTTGGGAGATGCTATGGACAGCCAGTTCGCCTCTGTGTGAAAGGAGTGCTAGACCCAACGGACCACTGGTCTGATCTAGCATGGCTTCTTTTGTTCCTACCCACAGTTGCCTCTGGTCCTCTCCAGCAATGAATTGTGACACCCGAGAGCTTCTGTGCAATGCAATTTAGCACTCAGGTAGAAAACGGCACATCATTCTCACCCTGTATAAACAAAATGAGAGCACCAATAGCACTGAGTGCATTGTTTTCAGAGGTCCTCATATGGATTAACACAAATCTAACAATAAAGTCATTTATTTATATACATGGAGACAGAGATAATGTGCCCTTGTACAACTGCATACACACATCCTCATCCTCCTCCATTACCCCACTTTCTATCTTGATGGTGTTGGGAAAATTTGGATAAATCCTGGCAGAAAAACATTGCTTCTGTGTTATAAAATCAGTCCTGCACTCCTCAAACGCACCAGCTTCCAAGCTAAGTCACTGTTTAAAATGGCATTCCTCCCCCGCTCCTTTCTCTCATCTTTAGCTGTAAGCTACTGTAGACAGGCCATTCAGTCCAAATATGCATTATATACCTTCACAGTAATCCTTGTTGGAATTCATAGTTTACCAGGAAGTATCTATTTTGCTAGCCCAGAGCTCTTCATGTGCCCTGGCCAATCAGAATGGTGCGGATGCATTACTTAGGGTCTGAGTCTAGATAAGCTTATGAGTTCATGAATAGTTTCTCAGTAGCTTGAATTTACATGTCTAAGCAGACCTGGAGATGGGTTCAAGTTATTCAACTAAAGTGTCAATACACTGCAATTAGAAATATTGTAATGTCATTGTCACTGTATGATTGGCTGATCTTCCTTTATCTGTTCTGTATGTGATGACCTCAGAATCTTATTGTAATGTCTGCATTCTGTCATCAATTGCCCTGTACCTGTGTACACGACCGGGAGGGTATAAAATACCCTGCAGTTGTATTGAAACTTTGCAGCGAATTTACCTCTACGTGCACAGTAATGCATTATTGTGAGTCTACCATGGGAAACTGGGCCAAACAATAAAGCCACAGATGGTCTGAATGCTTGATCTTTCCCATGAACCTGAGTTTTATTTCCTCCTCATGAACTGAAATTCCGGGATTCTGACAATGGCAAGAAGACAGTCATTTATATAAAACTGTTAACTCAAAAGAATGATGTTAACTTTTGGGCACTGACATGATTGGGATTGATAATAGCGATAGCATGCACCGAAGAGTTAGCTGCTCAGGCACTCTTGTTTCTTTGCACTTCCCTACCTCAGGTTCTTCCTCAAAAGAGGGAATGGAGGAGGAGGAGGAGGAGGAGGAGGAGGGAGGCCTCTTGATGCATGATGTGCTTAGATTCCTTAATAGGGCCTGTGTGTGCTCATGGCTGCTCCATCTCAGCTAACCAAATGCCTCAGGCCTGCCTAGCTCAGAAGTAAACATGAGTTTCCTGGAATTAAGATTGAAATCGTAAACAGGCTTGCTAAGAACTCAACACAATTGAGACAGGGGGACTTCTTTGTGGGCAGCGTGTAAAGTTATGCTACATAGCTCAACTCATGCAGCAGAATAATGTCCGGAAATGGTAAAATGCACAGTATTATATCTAGGTAAAGACTGACATTTCTGAATGCTTCCTTGTGCAGAACAAGCAAAGCAAAGCAAAAGAACAGAATGACGACAACAACAAACTACTTCCGGATGAAAGGACCAGCTTGAAAATTTCTCCCTGCTCTGAAACTTTTTTCCAATTGTGAAAGGTCCCTTCCCTTCCTTCCCCTTCCCTTCCCTCCCCTCCCCTTCCCTTCCCTTCCCCTTTAATGGGCTTTGAAAAGTACACATGCACTCCACATTTGTACAGCTAAGAACCTTATTCTTCCCCTCCTCCTGTGCAATGAGGCATTGCTCAACCTCTTTGGACCTGTGGGCGCATTTGGGAATCAGAGAAACTGCTAGGGAACCCCCCCACCCCCATATGGATCCCAGCCAGGATGGGGCTAGCCCCCTAAAAGCAGCCATGGGGGCAAAAGGGAGCCCAAGAGAGGACTGTGCCAAAGAGAGAAACTGTGATTTGAGAGGCTGTGTGGGAGGAGGAAGCAGCAAGGCAAAGGCATAAAGTGGAGAGAAGAGCAAGGTGAGAGGAAAGAAAGAAGATTACCCTTTTACTGGCCTTTTTATTGAATAATAATGCCATATATGGAAGCCAATGCTCCATGATTTGGCAAGTAGCTACCATCTTTACTCTGGATGAGATACAAGGGAATGGTTATTTTGGAAAGGCTCTTGAAAGGACCTGCAATTAATTAAAAACTCTAAATTCTCTCGGTAGTTTCCTTTTTTGTTGTTGCAAATAAATCATTACAGAGCCAGCAATCTGTTCAGACTGAGACCACCCTCGTTATGAAAGGCCTTTATCGAGTTGAGATTCCAAGTTATGCCCACCACAGTTTTGGATGGGCAATATAACAAGGCGCCTTTTGAATGCAGCTTATGCACCTGTGGTTGAAGACATGGTTCATTACATGTTACTCTGTCCTCTATACACTGACACACCTGCAAGATTGTTGAAACCCTTGCTAGTATATGTCTATAGGAATGCCTTGGCAGAAACAGGTTCTTTTTCCCCCAAGTTATACTAATAGTTATAAGACACCCAAAGTTGCTTTGTTTGCTTTGGGAGTGAAATGATCAGGAAGAGAGAATTAGATAGAATTGCTATAAACTGCATTGGCAATGTAAAGTTAAGTAAAAGATGAATTTCTGTCTGTGGTATATTTTAATTTATTTATATTTATATTGTTTGAGATTCTTCATGTGGTTGTCTGTGCTCATACATTTGATGTATTTGTAATGGCCTTTTGCTAATAGAATAAACCTCTTGAATAGAAAGAAATAGCAATAACGGTAATAATGTTAAGGGAGCTTTGAGGTCCCTGTGGGCACCACACTAGGTCCTCCCCTGATGTAAATGTTATTATTGTTTTTGCTATTAAATGTACATCCCATTTGTTTCTTCTTGCAAGGAGTCCAAGTCAGCTTCCAGGGTGCTCCTCCTTTCTCTTTCATCCTCACAACAACCCTGTGAGGTAGGCAATGTGTGTATTATGCATGGGATGAGAAACCTAATGCCAGTCTTCCTGACTTGGTTCCTTCTAGATGTTTTTTGGAATGACTAGTCCCAGGCTTCCTGACCACTGGCCATGCTGTCCTGGGGCTCATGAGTCCTGGAATCCAGAAGGGCACCAGCTTGGGGAAGGATGGTCTCTGCAACATAATGGAATCCATCTTTAAAAAGCCTCCCCCTGCCCCAGAAATGGCACATAATTTGTGTGCAGTGGGACAGATCAAATGTGAGCAACTCCTAATGACACAGTGAAATGCTCCTCACGGTCCCCCCCCCCCCCCCCCTCGTTGCAGGCTGAAAAGTGATTCTGCCACAGACACGGAGGAAGCAAAGAGGAGAAGCAGGATTTGCCCGTGGGCAACTCTCCGATCCACTTGTCCTAAAGCTGCAAAGGTGGGTGAAAAGATGCAAGGTGCAAGGCGAGGGGCCGACAGGGCTTCCCCGGCTGCTTCTCTGCCTTCCCTGCGCGGAGCTCAGCAGGTTGAAGGCAGTGGGATGGCTCCCAGACACACCCAGCTCTTGCAGGCAGTAAAACGATCCCTCCTCTGCCCTCAAGCCAAGCCCAGCTCTTTCTAACGGATAAAAGGAGAGGAAGTGCCTGCCTGCAGGTTCAGAGGGTCTATGTCTCCCTAGCTCCACTGAGCCTCCCTGGCTATTTTCACATTTAGCTCTTCCAAGCATAGAGCCCAGCCTGAGCAGCCATGTCCCTGCTGAACTACTCCTCACGTTCAGCAGGCGGCCATGGTGCCTACAACCAGTACCACCGAGTCAACAGATTCTCCACCGGCAGCCTGTCGGGGAGCCCCGGCTTCAGCAGCACCAGCCTCTTCCACCTGGGCTCTGCCAGCAAGAGGATTGCCCGGGGTGGCCAGGGCTTCAGTTCTGGAGGTAGCCCTGGAGGCTGGTCTGGATATGCTGGTGCACGTCCATCAGCGGGCATTCAGGAGGTGGTCGTCAACCAGAACCTCTTGAGCCCGCTCAACCTGGCATTTGACTCTTCCTTCCAGAAGGTACGCAAGGAGGAGAAGGAGCAGATCAAGATCCTCAACAACAAATTTGCATCCTTCATCGACAAGGTGAGATACGTGACTTCACTAAGATCAAAGGAGTTTCTCTTAGGCTTTGTGGGTTGCAGCTGTGCCCTTAGACCCTCGCTGCTTCATTGCTTGCCAAAAAACTCTCCAGACCTTTCAGATGTTGCATCCAAGGCAGTGTCTGACCTTCACTTGTACAGACCGCCACTGTAGGACCTGGTCGCTTCCCCGCTTTCCTTCCCTATTCCCAGGAGACAATTCCCTAGTTTAAATGGCTGATTAATAGTGGAGATGAGAGAGCATTTCAGCTGTGATCATAACACACGCTGGACGTGAACTCAGTCAGTAAAAGATGTAACCTCTTCTAGATCTGGAAATGCCTTGGCTTATTTTTCTGTGAAGTTCAGATGTTGGCCAGCACATCACATGCAGAAAAAGGTGTGGTGAAGATCCAGAGCGGCACAATCTTGCCCTCCTGCTTCTGTGCATCGGAGCTTCCGTTCTCTAAACCCCCATTTGGAACCAAAAGCCTCCAAAGAGTGTTTAAGTCCTACAGCATCTTTTTGTTGTGGGGCAAAGTGGCTTGCTTTTAAATTCATGAATCTGAAGTTGCGCCAGTTTTACATATGGATCAACTGACTGATCAATTAAGACAGCACCATGAATGGTTCAGTGGTTATAGTGTCGAATTTGGGAGATCCAGGTTATAGTTCCCACTTGGCCATACTGGATGACTTTGGGCCAATCACTGAGCCTCAGCCTAACCTACCTTACAGGGTGGTTGTGAGGACAAAAGGAAGAGGAGGAGGATCATGCATATCACCTTGTCCCCCTGGAGGAAAAAAAGCAGGATATGAATGTAACAGAGAAAGAAAGAAAGACCTTAGGGCTACTGTGAGGGGAAAGATGCTGCAAGAGTTAATGTAAATGATCTTGAGCTGCTAGGATTTAAAGAACTTGAGAAAAAATGTCAGAGGCCTAAAAGTTCTGCAAGATGCCTGCTTGAATGCAAGTGTGGGTTGCTCGTGCTGAGCTCTGTCCATGCTCGACCTGCCTGACAAGCGGTGCTGATAACTGAATGTGTTATGAAAAGCTGCATTTTTCGCAAAGCTCAGTCTGCAAAGCTTTTCCACCCCTGCAGCCATTCTCTTTCCTCCTGCACCCTGAGCTATCTAACCTTCCTCAGAGAAGCTGTGCTCTTACCCCGTCACCCTATCTGTGAGCTGAAGGCCCTGCAAACTCCTCCGTTTCTCCTCCTTTCATGGCATCTCGAATTGTGCTGGAAGAACGATTTGGCCTGTTGGCATTTTGCAGGTTCGATCCCTTGAGCAGCAGAACAAAGTCCTGGAGACCAAATGGAGCCTCCTGCAGGAGCAGAAAAGCACCCGGAGCAGCATCCCATCTGTCTTCGAGACGTTCATCAGCCACCTGCAGAGGCAGCTCGATGCTCTTATGAATGAGCGGGGCCGCCTGGAGGGAGAACTGAAGAGCATGCAGGATCGGCTGGATGATTTCAAGCAAAGGTGATGTCTTCATAGCGACTTTGCAGACCCTGGGAGGTTGAAGTGGCCTCAGGGCATCTCAGGTCCCCTTTGAAAGCAAAGGAAGTGAAGAGGGAGGCATTTTATTCCCTTCTCTCTTAACATTCGAACCTGGGTCATCCCATGAAGCTGATTGGTGGGAGCTTTAGGACAGCTACAGGGAAGTAATTCTTCGTACAACATATAGTTAAACTATGGCATTTCCTGCCACCGAGAAGGGTGGTGGCCCCCAATCTAGATGGCTTTAAAAAGGGACTGGACAGATTCAGGAGGGAGAAGTGGCTACTAGCCTTGCTGGCTCTGTGCTACCTCCCTTACCAGAGGCAGCAGGCCTGCAGACACCAGTTGCTGAGGAGCTTGGGCAGGAGGAGGCCTTGCACCCATCCCGCATGAGCGATCTTGTGGGCAACTGGTTTGCCATTGGGTATACAGAGTTCTGGACAGGATGGACCTTTGGTCTGATCCAGCAGGACTTTTCTTATGTTCTTGAAGCAACCACACTCTAAATCAAGGAATCCTGCAGGCAGCGTGCTGAGTAGAACCCAAATCCAGCCCTTTGGGATTCCCTGGAAGGCCACACTCCTTCTCCTGGCCCAGCTGTCTTCGGTGGTTTCCTGGCTTTGCGCAGGCTTCTTCCCCTGTCCCCTCCCCACCATCCTCAAAGCCTGAATCCTCTTAGTTTCTGGCCAGAATTGCTTTCAGCAAGAATGTGCTGGGGGGTTGGCCCCACCCCTTTGACTTCAGCCAGACCTACCCCTGAATGGAGCTGTTGACAGCCAGTTGGAAGTGGACCTTGGCCCTCGGTCCAAAAGAGATTCTCTGCCCCTGTCCGAAGACTACAACCTATGTGTCTTTAATTAAAAGGAAAGCCTATTGATGTGAACAAGACTGACTTCCAAGCAAGAGTGTGCAGAATAGAAAACAGGCAGCGTGAATCTATGAACGTGTGCTCTGAAGTAGGTCTCACTGCATTTAGTGGGGCTGGCTTCCCCGAGAGTTTACCCTGCGTCTCTGCTTTATTTGCAGAGATGGTGGCATCTTCCAGCACATGCAGGAGGCCCATCAGCAGGGTAAGGGAGGAGCTGCATTAGACCCTAGGAGGATAAGAGGGCAATAAATGCAACACAGGTCTCTTTGCAGGGCTTCAGGCGCTGTGCCCAAGAGCTGGTAGCCAGGCTGCATCCAAGCATATCTCTTCCTGGTTACCCGCTGGGCTGCATGGACGTCAGTGGCCTCTGCAGGCGTGCCTTGGAGAATCCCAGCCCGAGCACGGCTGTGCCCTTTTGCAGAGAGGGTTGGCACGGCGTTGGCTTAAGCCATGGGAAAGTGCATGCCCATTGCTGGCTATGACTGTCTCTGGAACTGTTTCCCGTCCCTCCGGTTATGTGATAGGGCATAACCTTGAGAGAAGGGAGTGTCGATACAGACACATCCTTTGCTTAAGGTAAGAATCTAGAATAAATCTTAATGGAAGGAAAACTTAAAAGTATGGACAACACAGCAAAGTGGATCTGAAGCAGAACATGTTTGTTTAAGCCATGTCAGACTATCTCAGCATCTTTACCAGTCAACCGTTCCAGGATCCTTTGAATGAAATAATGATGAATCAACTGGAGTCAGCCTTAAATAGCTTTAGATTGACCCCCACATGTTCATCCTTCCAGGTAGTGTATGAAAGGCGCATTATGCCAAGGCATTGTATGCAGAACTGTGCAAAACCCGTGACCTATTCCCCAGCATCAATGCTATGTAATGTTTGTAGACACCCATACCTGACTCTTTTTTTTAAATCAACACATAGAAGATATTTGGCTTCAGGGTCAATTCACACAAAGCACAAAGTTTCTGTGCTTGAACACCAGCTGTCCCAATCTTCTAAGTTCACTTGAGGCAAGTGTAAGGTGTGAAGCACGTATTGTGGGATTGGCCAGCAATTATTAGGATGGTATTATTTGGGAACAGTGCCACTGTGACCTTGAGAAGTCCTGATGGTCATATCCAGTATGATACATGTTATTAATACAAATCCAAGCAAGAATCCAAGCAAATACTTTCTATACTGATCCCTAGTCTAGTTAGATTTTAGAAAACCCTGGATACAGTAATATAGTCAGCCTTCTCCAACCTGGCACTGCTCAAATGTTTGGCCTACAACTCTCAGCCAGCATGGCTAACGATGAGAATTATAATCCAGAAAAAGCTAGAGGGCCTCAGCAAACATAGGCGATCTGATCACTTGTTGAAAGACTTTAGAAATTAAAAGATTGATATGATCCCAAAAGAAACCAGAGGAAGGGAGATAAAAGGAAGTTGATAACAGAGTATGCTAAAAGGATGGCTTCCAAACTGTAGAAAGTAGCATTTGAGATCCATCTGGCAAGACACTGCATGCAGAAGTTTGCAAAAAGATATTTAAATCACCCATGTATTCCTCCTCCTCATTGCTTTGTAATGTTGATGGGTCTGCATCTTTCAATATTTTTGTAAGTGACTTCAGGGAATGCAGTTAAGTGAAGAGAACTGGGCCATTCCTGTGTTTAGAAGAGTGGATGCTGAATGCCATATATTTGGGGACTGTTTTCTTATCAGCTGGAAATGTTGGGGAAAAGGAAAGCCACTTTGATCACAAGATAGCTAGGGCCTAGCAAAGATTGCATTACAAGACGAAAGTTGTTCCTGGATGCATTTGGGTGAGCATTTCTTTTAAGGACATTGAAGCAACGCTTCTTCTGCCCAAGCCAGTGACTTGCTTCCTCTGGCATATCATGGGCCATCTGATCATCTGTATTCAGGAAACAGAGAAAGAATATCAGGTTTTTAGTAAATTTTAAAATGCAGCCTTAAAAATAAAGTTGCAAATCTGTCCACACATTCCACAGAGGCAAGTTTCACTAAGTTCAGCCTCTCTCTCTCTCTTTTTCTCTCTCATAGATTAGAAAAGTTTAGACTGTTGAGTTTGGGAAGATTTATAATGGAATATGATGGCAAAAGAAGAAGGGGACGGCAGAGGATGAGGTGGCTAGATGGAGTCACTGAAGCAGTCGGTGTGAGCTTAAGGGGACTCCAGGGGATGGTGGAGGACAGGAAGGCCTGGAGGAATGTTGTCCATGGGGTCGCGATGGGTCGGACACGACTTCGCGATTAACAACAACAACAAATGATTGCATTATGCAAGCATATCAGAGGGATAACAGACTGAAGAGTGAGTGGAAGCTCTGCTTAACTCTTTACAAGAGTTATAAGCAAATAGGTTTCACATAGTTTGGAACGATGTATGGTATAATCCTGCTTGAACTGAATGGCAATTATAGCTGTTCTCCTGCCTGCCTGGCTTTTAAACTATCAAGACTCGACGCAGATGCGACTCTGCTTAGCTCATATGTCGGTGCGGCACAGGTCTTTCTGGAAAGTCCCAATTCTGATTGGAGGGGAGGGAATCACACGCTTGGATGCGCCCTCCCTCCACCTCTGCCCAACAACTCTCTGCACGTGGAGTGCGCTCGTGGCTAAACCTGTTCTGCCGGACATGCCAGCTTTCCTTTGCAGAAGTGGGCATTTCTGGCTGCTGTACAGTTATTCAAGGGCATGGTTCCTTGCCATGAATTTCCCAATGAATTTTCCTCAAGAGGTGCAGCAGCCCTGATACTGAGAAGATTATTATTATTACATTTCTATGCCACCCATAACTGAGGCTCTCTCGGCAGTTCAGTAAGTCACCCAGGTCCAACCCCACTTAGCTTCCAAGATCAGGCAGGATCAGGCACTTCAGGCTAGGCTTGAAAGATTGGTCAGGTCTGCTGTAGGACTCTGTGTGTGTGTGTGGTAGGTGGGTTTTGCTTTCCTTTCCCTTGCAGACTGGGCCCTTGGTTTGGTTTTATGAGTCTCCTGGTGGCTTTGCCTCACAGTTAAACCACAGGCCTGGACTAGGCTATTCCAGCTTTATCTATTTATACAGCTTTTGCTCCTCTTTCGTCAAACGGTCGGGGCAGCATGCATCACTCACCGCCCCCCCTAAATTTTTTCTCCTCTTTGCAATCCTGCAAGGTTGGTTATTTATATACTAAAAAAGGGTGTGTGTAACTGGCCGACTGGCCCAACATCACCTTCAGGGCTACACAAGGAAGGATTTGGACCCAGGTCTCCTCACCCCATGCCCTCTCTCTTCCACACCACCATGCTGAGTCTCTAGATCTTGCACTTGGATCCTGCTGTTTCTCAGTTCTTAAGCTGTCATAAATTCCATTTCAGCTGTTAATGTTGCAGTGTGTTCACACCACCCACTTGTGTGTGTGTGCACCTCCTGCGCAGCCCTGCCGTTGAGCTGAGTTTCTTTTTGCACCCAGTTCAAAGAGTGGAAGAGCTTTTCCTTCCCCCTTCTTTTTCCCTTTGCAAGGAGCAGCTAAGGTGGTGATGGGGAATTAAAAGGCATCTCTAGGGGCAGCCCTGCATCTCATGCAGGCTGCTCTTTAAAAGGTCCCTCTGCGTCCCTGGGAAAGTTCAGTAGAGATCAGCTCTTCCCCCAATACTCCCCACCTAGCTACACTCGGAGTGTTTAAGAAATAGACAAGCTGGCAAGCTGGCTTACACAGGATGGAAAGAAATCCGTACTCCTAAATTCAAGGGAGAAGGATTAATTAGTAATCCTTCTTCAAGGGCAACCCAATTAGGCAAAACTGGTATTTGAACAGGTCTTCACCCCAAGGACCTTGGGAATTAGAGTTTCTGAGAGGAGTGCAAGGAACGATGTGTAACTGAGCAAAGTGGAGAACAGAGAGGTCAGAGAATCTACGCCAAAGAAAAGCCTCCAAAGACTTTGAGCAGGAGGCAGCGGTGCAGCAAGGGCAGTTCTCGTCACACAGCGCCGTGATGGCTTGGTGAGGAGGGGTGCGGATGTGCCGTAGCCTGCGGCGTTGGTGGGCATGTCGTGAGCGGAGCCGGCTGGTGCCAGAGGTCAGACTAGATGGCCCGGGAGACCACTTTTGACTGGCTCTGTTTCTACGTTTCTGTTCCTGTTTCTTGCTAAGCTTGGTCGCAGACCACACAGGCTGGGAGGAAATTCATTCACCCAGCAGCAGTGCACCGGTCCCTGTTGTAGTGCAAAGCATTCTGGGGCAGCATGGCCGTGAATGGGCACGCTCACTGGGCTCACCTCCCTCTGCAGGATTCATGACCCGTGAGGATTTGAACCCCGATCTCCCTTTGATATATGGTACACCTTTGTACTCGCTGCTTAGTATTCCCCAGTTCACTGATTTTGTCCACATGGATGGAGATGCAAGATTTTACTTTCTTCAGCCAGTGTTTGTTAAGTATAGCAGATTAATTTAAGGCGATTCAGGATTAATCTGCAGCACCTTCTGTGCATGGGATGACATTTCTGGCACACACACACGCAGCATATAACTAGGGAACAGTTCATTCAGAAGGACTCTTTAGAATGTTTAGAAGAATATGTGATTATTTTGCAGAGAGGAAATGCTAAAGCTGAGAACAGAGGACACTCGGTGAATCCCGTTGCCTTTTCTATGCCCGTTGTTAAAGTGCAAAGTAGAGAGCCTCACCTTGCCCCTCTCCAGATGTGTTTGATCACATCTGCCAGCATCTCCAGCCAACAGCCTCATTCAGTATGCTGGCTGGGGATGATGGGCACTGAAATCCAGCAGAAATGGAAAGGGCTGCTGTAAAGACTATTCTTTTTAGTATCTGACCATTCCGGTCCCGTGGATATTCATCTGTGTGGTCACGATCACACAGAAAAAGCATCCAGCTATGGAAATGCTGGACTATATTTCACACAGCCCTGTGTGCAAGCCCACGTGTGTGCAGCAACTCTTAGTCTGCAGCCCAAGAGGAGGATGTTCTAGAGGGCTATCAAGATCACAAGGTGTTCTGGGGAAAGTCACTGTTTTTCAGGCTAGGCTTTGCTGTAGAGCAGAGGTTGGAAACTTGGTGCACTGCAGAAGTTTTCATCAGAACTCCCCCAAATCCTTGACCCTTGACCATGCCGGCTGGTGCTGCGGGGAGTTGAAGCTGAACTCCTTTGGGGGACACCCAGGCACTTGCCACTGCGGCAGCAGGAGGCTAAAATAGGCTCAGTGCCACATGTGCCCATGGATGGGCGAACACGTGCTACTTGAGATCACTAGGATTCTCTGAGGGCCATCTCACCACTTGTCTTGCACCCAGTCCCTGTTTGGGACTGCAATCAAACACATATCCCATTTGAAATTCGTGCAGATTTCCTCCACAGGCTAAAGCAGACCGCAGGGGGAAAATTCTGCAAAATCAAACTAGGAAAGTCACCCAAATCAACAGCGAGCATGTCCCACAGTCTGCCGACATTTCTGGTGGGTGTGCATTCATGATATAGCATTTGGAACTTTGAACAGGATGTGCTTGCATAAGAATAAAATTCTTATCCATCCCTCTCACTCTTTCTTTTCTATTTAAAGCATTCCTTAATATCTGTGGCCTTTATTGACTCAGTGCCCAGGAATTCTAGTTTAGATTAGAGGATGATGACAATGACATTTCGTGCAAATGAAATTCAGAAATATTAGCACAAAAGAAATCATAATGATAGAAATAAATTGTCCAATAGACTGACAAAAGGGCAAAGTCCATTTAAACAGCTGGTATAAATGGCATAGAAGTTCTGCTTCCAATGGCACCATCTTTGCTTACAACACTTCAGGTCTCTTTTTTCCCTGCCAATGTCCTTGTTCAAGGACAGCGGCAAAAGCAGGAACAGCCCAGCACATGCGGATTTGACAGCACCGAAGCGGAAAAGAGTGTTCTGTAATTTGCCTTCTTGGTTTGTGTCAGGGTTGGCAAATACTGAAACAGAGATCAATTCCAGCCCCCAGGTCTCAGTGCTTAGGGCAGTTGCCAATCCAGTTATCTGCCATAAGAATGCAGAAAGGGGAACATCACTTCTTTCCCTTTGAAGTCACATCACATGCATGGCTCTCATATCCTTGAAGATCATCTCTCATCTTCAGATCTTCTAAGCCGGTGATTATCTCAGCAGGGTGGAATCATCCATTTGGTAGGTGCGCATTGTTGTGCTTGCCAATGTGGACTTTGGGTAGCTTTTGTTTCGGAACGGGTCCCAAGGAGTCGAGATTTCTGAATAAACCAGCATTGTTTCCTCCAAATACTTTCACCTTGCTAGAAGTGACAGCCACGGTCAGGAATCCATGGCACCTGATTTTTATCGAGGTGGAATTTTCCACACTATTGTGCAGAACAGAGCTTACAGCAAGCAGTATGGCCCCAGCTAGCCACCAATCCTCGCCCGCCATTTGAATATGGAATTTCCTGCCCCTGAAAATGGAAATATTTCTTGCATTACTCTTTATTTATTTGTTTGTTTGATTGAGTTATATGCCACCCAATTAGCTATGGGCTCTCTGGGTGACTTACATACAATCAAATAAAATATAACAATACAAGAAAACACTAATATCCATAAAATTAACCATTATAAAACGATCGATAATAATAAAAATGAATTAAATATATGGAATAACTAACTGATAAAGTAAAAAAAAAACAGAAGGGATATAAAACAACAATCCAATAATACAACATAATTGACAACCAAAATTAAAAACCATAAATTTACAGTTAAAATGGTAGCAGCAGCTAATTTTAAAAGCAAGAGCTCAATAGATTCACCCTTCAAAATAAGTGAGAAACTAAAAGGTCTTTGGCTGGTGCCAGCCTAATTCCTTGTGGGATCGAATTCCACAATCAGGGTGTCGTGGCGGAGAAAGAGCCATGGATCTTGACCACTTTACTCGGGGGAGGAATGCAGAGGAGGGCCACAGATCTTGACCGCAGTGATCAGGAGCGTACATACGGAGAGGGGCACTGCCTCAGATGGTCCGGCCCCAGGCCTTTTAGGGCCTTACATGTCACTGTAAGCACTTTAGGGTCTGGACGGCAACCAGCAGCCAATGTAGCCTCTGTAGGGCCAGCATGACATAAGGTGAGGTTGCTTAGCATGTGTGAGCAGGGACGCTTTTAACAGTGCGAGCAGGGTCTCTGTTAAGTGACCTTAGTGCCCAAGTTCAGGCACATGACCAAAAGTGGATTCCGATATAACACCCAGGATACCATTCTCATATGGCTTCGTGGAGACAATCCGTCTCTAGCTGGCTCACAGAGCTCTCTTGGATCCATGCTGCAATCCTGTACAATCTTACTGGGAAGTAAGCCCCTTGAACGCATAGCACTAACTTCTGAGTAGACAGGCATAACTAAACTCTTCCATCACTGCTCAGTGATTACCTTCCAAGTCGTGAGAATCTGGTCAGAAGGACAGTTTGAAAAGGTAGAAGCAGGAAAAGCAAAATGAAGGAAAGTGGACAGCAGTGGAAGTGAGGCGAACCATTGTTAATGCTGTTCATTTCCTTGGGCAGATTTTTCCTTCCAAGGCTATGTGCTGCGATTTTCTGACTAACCAATAACTGCATTTAAACAATCTGCTTCCTTCTCTTTCACTGTCAGATATGAAGATGAAATCAATAAACGCACAAAAGCCGAGAATGGTTTTGTCCTACTTCAGGAGGTGAGAATCCCTAACCCATCTTATGCCCTATTTATTCACACTTGCATGGCAAATATGCATGTTCTGCCTCCCAGGCCAGGCCAGCTGGGCAATTGCCCTGGTCATTCCCAAGTGGCAAGATTTTTTGTGCTGAGTACCCACATTAACAACTTCTGCCCGACTTGGGAAAACAGATGGGATGGGTTGGATTTGCTTTTCATCCCCACATTTTAAATTGGCCAGCAGCCTATATGTTTCCTTCCCGGAATTCCGAATTGTGTCAGATGAAACGTTAAGTGTAAAAGCTGCAGTGCAGGATGTATGAGTTTGGTCTGCACACATGGCAGAAGAGCTGGTAGACCTTTTCTTTTATCATTTTGAATGGGGCCACTTCGACTGCAGGTGAAGCGTCACATATTTATTTCTTCCATATTTATTTCCTTTAAACTCTCTTCATATAAAAATGAGAAGTCAGGGAATAAATGACCTCTCTGATATGCTAGTTTTCTACACACGAGTAGTTTTTTTTTTCCCCACATAGGAAGAATTCATTCGTGGAGCCTTGCCACACAGAATGAAGTGGTACAGTCCCTGCTCATTTTCCTCCCATCCCATATGCAGTTTATGTGAACTAGGAACCAAATCAGTCAAAATTCTGAAAGGAAAATCCTCAGAAGAATTAGATCTACTTTTTATACAGGATGAGAGAGTTGGGAGGATCAGGGGGAATATTTTTCATAGTTGTGAGTTGTGCTGCAATCTTGGATTTGCAGTGGAGGAGGGATGTCCCACACTTTTGAAAATCAGCTTTATTTAAAAGGAGTATCTAAAAAACTATGGTGTGGCTCAAATGCAATTAATCACACTAAACATTTCGTGTACTTCATTATTATTTCAATTGGATACCCAAAGCAAGGTGTCCATTGTGCAGGCACAGACTTTTTTTCCCCTTATTTACAAATCAAACAAGCGAGGACAGCAAAGGACAGAAGGCACATGGAAAGGACTGGCAACTTAGCCAAGGTCCAACAGATCAGGGCAATGTTGTTAAGGGACTAAGGACTGAATGGCACGTTATGGCAAATGCAGTGTTGGTGTTTTTTCTTTAATCAGTGACCAACACAGCCGCAGGATTGTGACCAAGATTGGCGCATTGGTGGAAGGGTGGTTCACTTCTTCTCTCCCCACACACTGATGTTCCCCCTCCTGCCTCTCTGATCATGGCCATAAGGTTTAGGAAACAAGCCTTAGCTATATGCAGGGAGCCAGGGGATTTTTTTCCGAGCGGCAGAGGTAGAAGGAAGGGATAATCTCTTCTCCCTGAACATTGTGGTCTTGTTAGGAGTCGTACACAGATGCACGCATATGTGCACCTTTAATTTAAAAGAATGCTCTTGGAGCTGTATGCTGCAAAGTTAGTGTAACATGTAGCTTGGCCCTGAGTTATGAGGACAACTCCATTGTAAGAACAACAGTTTTCATTGTTGGAGGATTTGCGCTTGGAATATGGAGATGGGAATTTCCATCATTTGCACATGGTAGCAATCATCTCCCCTTTCTCCTTCTCATTTCACTAACATTTCACTTAGATCTCTGGTTGTGCTTTTTTAGGATGTTAATGCTTCTTACATGAATAAGGTGGACCTGGAGGCCAAGGTGGTCGCATTAACAGATGAGATACACTTCCATCGTGCTCTGCATGAAGCGGTAAGTGAACTTCTGCATGGGTGCCATCTCATTTTCATTTTATCTCTAAATGGTGGTGTAGCTGTACACCATTGCTGTAATTGTTCTTGACCTGAAGAAAATGCATGTCCATTCAATTCTCCAGGAAGTAGAAGAGCTGAAGACACAGATCTCTGATACATCTGTTATCCTCCAAATGGACAATAATCGAGACCTAGACGTGGACAGCATCATTGCTGATGTGAAAGCTCAGTATGAAGAGATTGCCAATCAAAGCAAGATTGAGGCAGAAAAACTGTACCAAACCAAGGTGAGACATGGCGGGAAATGTAGGGCTGTTGGTGATGGACATTTATATACTGCCTTATCTACTAAAAAGCTACACAAGTGGTATACAACTTCTTGGGGAATAACCAACTGGAAGTACTGATTGTTTCCCTTTACAATGACTTGGAAGCCAGTTACGGACTTTACAAAGAAGGAGTCCAATCCATTACATTTCAGTTTTTTGCATTCTCTCTTGCTAGGCGTTCTAGCAACTTTGTTGAGAAATTGCACCGCCCATCAATTAATTCAAGGATGATTATTCCGGCTACCTCTTATTGCTTTCAGCACTGCCTCAGTGAGAAGCACAAAACTCCTAGCTTCTGAATTGCAGAAGCCATAGTGCTGTCACCATGAGTGTAGCCAACTGCCCAGAGAGCCTCAGCTATTGGGTGGTGTATAAATGAATTAAATAATAATAGTAGAAGTAATAATAATTGCTCTTTTCCCTCTTCTGCATTGCTTTATCACCTGATGACTGTTGCTTCATGCTAAACAGATGAACAGACATATGGTGATGGAGAAGCTTTACAGACAGGGTGCAGTATCTTGGCCATAACTTCTTAGTATTCACCCACCTCCCATTCACCTTCACCACCCCTTCCATCCTCATATTCCCCGCATCCAAACCTCAGCTCACTCATCTCTCTCTGTCTTTCTCCCTCTCCCATCCTTTCTCACACTCACACAAACGCACCCCCTCCAAATCAGACACATAAATATCACGTCACTTGATAGTATGCTCTCTTTTCTCGATCCCAGAATAAGGTGAGATAGCTAGACTTACTATAAAGTAAAAATTAAAAGGTGTGGGGAGGGGCGGGGGGAGCTCAGGATCAGCTGATCTTCTATGTGATTAACCTAATTTGTAGTTCGACTTCGAAGAATCAAGACCCTGGAAGGCGCTGTGCTGGTAAAGAGGAGGGTTATATAGAAAGGGGCTAGTCCTGTTTCCAAGGACTCTTGTTGTGTGTGTTCTGCGGGGCAAAGACTGTGATCTGAGGCATGCCCAGCCTGAGGGAGAAAGCCCGATGCTGCAGACCCAGGATGCGTGTCCGCTACTCCAGATCACGTCCCTGAGCCCAGCTCTTGCTTTCTGCCATGTAACTGACTGGCTGCCATTCACTCCTAGAAGGCAAGTAAAGCCAGAGTGGCACCACCCACTCCTGAGTGGGGAAGCCCTTGGCTACAACGAGGTCAAAACCCGCACGCTGTCCCCGAGGCTGGCTGACGCTGCCTGCCGAGACAGGCGTCCCCGGTGGAGGAAGAGGGACTGCCGCACCCGCAACGTGCAATAGAGGCTTCTTTTGCATCCTCCCCACACGCCCCTGTAACCGCACTGTGTGTCGCTGTGTTTGCTGCAGTATGAGCGCTCCCGGGCTGAGGCTGGGAAGCATGGAGATAAGCTGCGTGACCTGAAGCAGGAGATCTCGGAGTATTCCCGCAGGATCCAGAGGCTGCGCTCTGACATCGAACATGCGAAAAAGGAGGTGAGGCGGAGGGAAGGGCTTGCCCTGGCGCTCCCCTTCTTGAAGCCATGCTGTTGAGTTAAGGAAGCTTGGAAAGGGTGGGGTATATCCATGCACGGCCCAGAGGGACCCCACTCCCCACACCGCTTGTGACTTAATCATGTGGCAAATTCTGTCGGGTAGCAAATTGCTGATTCCTCTTGACCGAATGTGCCTTTGTGGCTTCATCTGATCCTTTGAAGTCTGGGCCTGTTTTCTCCAGAAAAGTGCAGGGTAGAATTCTATTCCACCCCGGGCTGAAGAGGGGGAAGGACCTTTGGCAGGGAAGCAGGGCGAAGGAAGCCATCGGCCATTGTCCTTTCCCAGAGGAAGGTTTTCCCAGCCATTCCTAGGCGTTTGATGAGAGGCTTTGCGAGGACTGCTTTCGATGAGGGAAGGGATGTGGGGAGAAAAGGTGAAACACCCTTTTCCTCTCCAGTCTTATGGGAAACCCATCAGAACCACATGCATTTCGCTTTGAAGACTTAAAGATCTGGCTGCTCTAATTGCAGGTCTCCCACATAAGATCTGGGCTGGCCCTCAGGAACAGTGGCAGCTCCAGGTTTCCGAGAGCCCTTGGACAAGGCACCTTCGGGGGCCCTGAGTGAACTGGCTCCCCTCTCCCCTAACCCTTGCCGCCAGCTCCTCGGCCTCTTTCCCCCCACTGCTACCACTCGCTTGGCAGGCTGAGAGCGTCTGCTGCACCTTCTCTCCACTCGGCCAGAGGGAGAGGCAGGAGAATAAGCAGCTTGCAAGAAGGGGAGGATGGGCAACTCCAGGGGGCTCCTATCGAAGACCCCTGCTGGCTAGGCACTGTGATTGACATGGGGCCGGCTCCCCTTCCCTTCTCAGAGGAACTTGGAGCCCCTTGCACTTGTCTTGAAGTACACAGTTAATGAGCCGAGTGCTGCAGTCACAGATGTCCCACATCACATCTAGCTTAGCTCTCCAGAGCTGCAAGTTGGCTTCACGACAGATCTGGCCGGCATGATTTCTGCTCTCTTCTTCTCTTCCATGGCAAGCGTTGGCAGTCTGCTCTGCAGACAGTGCACAGCGTGTCAAAAAAGAGAAAAAGGAGAGGGGGGAAGCCTCTTTGAGGGTGCCCTCAAGGACTGCATAGTTCCTGATGAATTAACCAAGAGCTTGCACAAAGCAGGGAGATAAGCCACTGTGAATCACTCCCCTGCAGCGCTTGCTTGGCTGGAGGGCAGGGCGTCTTCAGGAAACGTCCCTGTTGAAGCAGTGCAGATGGCGTGATCTGGGGAAATTTGCCTCTGGATGACGAACAGGGGTTCTGGATCGCAGACGTTCAGCAGCACAGTCCCTTCCATTGCATACGCACTGTGAGCTTGCATGGTGCTACAGGAGAGGGTGGCACTGGTGACGGAGCAATGGGAGCAAGAGGAGGACATTGCAGTCTGGCATTTGTGGCCTCCAGTGCTCTTCTCATGGGGGCCGCTGGCTGGAGGAAACAGCGGCAGGCCTGGCCCTGAGGCATCGCCAAGGCCAAGTGTGCGCAAGTTCCCCGTCCACTTCCACCCACCCAGAATGACCAGTAGCTTCACCGGCAGGTCTGCAACTGCATCTGAAGGCCCCTCATGCTGAGTCAGAGCACGGGTCCATCTTGGCCAGTACTTGCTACTCTGCATGGTGGTTGCTCTCCACCTCTCAGGCAGATAGGAGCTTCCCATCGTCTGCCACATAAAAGCCACCTAAGTGGAGATGCCGGGGACTGAACCAGGGCTGCTCTGCATGACACTCAGCCGTGGTTCATCCCTCCCCTGACACCTGAAGCCAGCTTCTCTAGGGTCAGACCCATTTGGCCTGTATTGACTGGATTCAGACAACACAAAGGCTGAGTCTGGGTTACCACGGACCCATGGTTGTGCTTGAAATATGGCTTACCATGTTGTTTGAACCCAGCTGCACTAACAAGCCATGGCACCTCAACCACGAACAGGCCAGGAAGAAAACCCATGGTTTGTTGCTGCTGGTGAATGGTGGGCTGCTCAGCATGGAGTGTCCTCTCGATGGGGTTCAGACAACACGATAACCCATGTGTCAGCATCAACACAATGGCTCAAGAGTAACCTATGATCAACCCATACTCAGCCCTTGTCTGTCTCATACCCTGGCCTTGGCCATGTCTGCACTTCACACCCAGTGCCTTCAGGCAGACATCTCCCCCGCCAGTGCTAGATCCTTTTGTCTGGAATGGACAAGAGCCGCCTTCGGACGTCGGACGTGCAGTCCAAGTGCTCGACCATCAGGTCCTCATGGCCTCCTTCCTTCCTCCCATCTGATTCGCTCCTTCCCACAGCTCTTGGCATAGAAAAGGGTGGGACTGAAACAGAAGACAATGTCAATTGCAGGCACTGCTGCAACTTCCAAAAAGGGACTGCATAATTCCAACGGCTGAGCATGTTTTGCACATGCAGGAAAATAAGGTGATAAAATGGACTGTATCGCTTTAGTCAATGGTGGTGGAGGGGCTGTATTGTAATGCATCCCTAGACTCAAGACTTTCTATACCAGGGAGCAATAGAGCATCTGATAGGTTCAGTTAGAACTGTTTTCCTTGATATACTGATTTTCTATGTGCAGGAAAGGGTTTTTACAAAACTGGCAGGAATCATTTGTTCCTTCTGCAGCTTCAGCATTCTACCCCCCTGTTCTGCTTCATGTGTAAACCTTCATGAATCCAAGTTATCCTTATTTGTTTGTTAGATTTATATCCGGCTTTTTTCATACAATGAACTCAAAGCAGCTTACATAATTCTCCTCCTCCTGCCCCACAACAACCCCCCTGTGAGGCAGGTTGGGCTGAGAGTCTGTGCCTGGCCCAAAGTCACCCAGTGGGCTCCATGGCCATGGTGGGACTAGACCTCAGAGCGCCAGAGTCCCAGTGCCATATTTTTAACTACTACACTTCATTGGCTTCCTATAATTATCTTTATTAGCTGCTCTGATTTGCTTATATGGTTATGGTGAGTGCAATTAGGAATGGCTAAACAAGCAGAAAAATATGAGAACAGATGTACCCTTCTCTGTCTTTTATTTATCAGAGGCTCTGGGGAAAAATGGCTCATTAGCACAGTAATGTAGAACTGTTGTACTGTAGACAGTACAATTTGAGATGGCAAGGAGGGAAGTAATAAGACCAAATGTTTTACTATCTTTCTTTTTAGCTCTCCCAACCCCTAGAAAACTAAGCGACAGCAAGCATGGTTCTAGGCTAGTTTTCTCTCTGATTTTTCTTCCTGCCACAGGTTCAAGGAAATGAATACACAGACCTTCTAAACGGTCCTGTCTCTTGTCTTTCAAGCGTTCCAGGCTGGAAGCCGACATTGTGGACAGAGAGGGACGTGGGGAGGCAGCCCTCCAAGATGCAAAGCTGAAGCTGAAGGGGTTGGAGACAGCCCTTAACCAAGCCAGGCAAGAGAAGGCCCGCCAAGTACGGGAGTACCAGGACTTGATGAACGTCAAGCTGGCCTTGGATGTTGAGATCGCCACCTACAGGAAGCTGCTGGAAGGGGAGGAGAGCCGGTGAGTGCCAGATGCAAAGCTTGGATGGTTACCTCTTTACCAGGGGTGCAAAGTTTAATCCAGGAGTGCCTTCCTGCAGGTACTGATCACTGGTCATGCTGACTTATGGGAGATGGTCTAAAACATCTGGAGGGCACAATTTACGCTGGTTTAGATTGTTAAAAAAAGTCAACTGGAGAGGTGTTCCCAGGCATCAGATTTCATTATATAATTTTAAAAACAAATGCTTATAAAATCACAGATGCTCCATGTTAGGAGAGACTTTTCTCCCATTATCTCTGCCATAAGACATTATGCATTCATCATCCAAAAATGATGCAGGGATACTTCTTACTTTGAAATTATTGTTTTTTTACCCACATGCAAATTTAATCAGTTAATTGACAAACTCATATTGCGGATGTAGTTTCGATCTCTTGAATCCAGTGACAGCTTTAGGCTTTATCTACTGTGATTATCTAACTGTCAACTGAAAATGGTATAAATAGTGATAGTAATACTGATGTGACACAAAGTTGCTTTGTTTGCTTTGGTAGCAAAAAAAAAAAAAATCAGGAAGAGAGAATTAGACAAAATTGCTATAAAGCTTAAATATAAATTTCTGTTCACAGTGTATTTTAATTTATTTGTACTGATATTGCTGAAATTCTTAATTTTGTTGTTTATGCGCATCCCTTTGACATATTTCTTCCGGCCTCTGGCTAGCATGATACACCTCTTGGATTAAGCAATGGTGTGAGCTGGGAGAGACTGAATCTTCTGTAGGTGTTGGCAGATTTGGTCGTGTAGCACAGGGTGCCACATTTCAAGCATGGTGGGCCAAATCTAACTCACCAGCATTCCCCAGAAAGCCCACCCAACCCTCTTTCCCCCAGCTGCCCTTTGTTGGTGGTTTCCTGGCTTTGGTGCCTCCCCTGCCATTCGAAAATGTTGCAATGCCTCCGCACTGAGAACTTCTCCAAAATGGAGTTCAGCCTTTGGACCAGAAGAAGTTAAGCACCCCTGTTGGACTAATAAGCAACTCAGCACCCTTAAGCCTTCTTCCACCCCAGGTGCAGAGCATGCGGGTCTTGTCTCCTGGCAAACCCTGTGGGAACGCTGGGTGTGCACACCAAGATCTTGGACTCAGGGCTGCAACAAAACACACCAGGGTCCAGGGTTCCCTGCTTGGGGGATCCAGTGGATTCCCATCCCCAAAGCAGATTCTTCACACAGCTCTACTTAAGGGTTACATGTATATGTTCACACATAAACAAGTTCATACATGTATATATATGCATATACACATGTGTATACACATACCGTATTTTTCGCTCTGTAAGACGCACCGGACCATAAGACGCACCTAGTTTTTAGAGGAGGAAAACAAGAAAAAAAAATATTCTGAATCAAATGGTTTACTAAACTATTTAATAAACTATAACAGAATACAGTAATACCATATTTCAACCTTGTAAAGTGAACAGCAGTCAACAGTGGCATTAAGAACCATCATCACTGTCATTAACAAAAGAGAGACTTAAAAGTTTGAGTACTCTTCTAGTTTTCGTTGAACCCATAGAACTCATCATCGCTAGAGTCAGGATTTATGAAGCTCTGTTGCTCACAATCACTGACATCACTTTCTTAGTCAGTAGTGGAATTATTGAAGGAATCCACAATCTACACCAGTTATACAAGAGCTGCTGCAGACAATTCAATAACAAATCTAAAAAAGCCAGTAATGTCCATGCTGCCCTACTAGTAAATAATAGAAAAAAACTTCTGACAAAAAATGAGATATTGTACGGTAAATCAAACACACAGCGGACAAAGTAGCCTTTGAAGAATAAACTTCATACCCGAAGGTAATGCTGTTCAAATATCCACTGATCCTAAAAAAAAATGTGTCTGATCAACTAACAGATATTGGTCCTTCTATTAACTTAATAAAGCAGGCACCGTTCTGATCCATGGAAAGCTTCCTGATAATCACAGGCACATTCCCCATCACTTCCCCATGGGCTTCATTAAAAGACGGGTTGCCATTTGAAAACACACACTGACCTGTGATTATCAGGAAGCTCACCTGCGCCGGGGGTGGGGGGGCGGAGCAGGGCGCGCTGAGCGCATGCCGGCCAGGTGGTGCAGGTGGGCCGGCAGCGTCCCGGCGGTGGCATTGCATGTCCCGGGCGTCGGGCACGCCATGCTGCACATCTGACAGGCTTACTGCACACACATATTCGCTCTATAAGACACACAGACATTTCCCCTTACTTTTGAGGGGGAAAAAAGTGCATTTTATGGAGCGAAAAATATGGTATACATACTGGTACATGTATGAAAAAATGCCTCTGTGCATGCACAGAGAGTGGCTTCCTGTTACTACCGCACTTCATTGCTACCTGCTTAGAACTCAAGAGCAGGCCTTCTTCCCAGAGCAAATGGAATGGCTTTCATACAGGCCTGATCCCTCACTCCTTAAAAATTGCCCATGGGCCATGGAAGATTGGCTGCGGGAGGTGGAATCTGAGCTCCCACTGGGGATACAAAAGTCAAGCTTGGTTAATACTCTATAGTCTGCTCTAATATTTTTTTTCTTTTTTGCTTTGATCAGTTGCCAGTTCTTACTTATTATTAAAATGTCAATTCAAGCGATAAATTCATTTCCACAATCCTGGTGACCAATAATCAGGTTATTATTAGTCCTTTCAATGTGCATGAAAAGTAGGCAACACCCATGATGCCCAGCCAGCCTAGATTCCTCCATCCTACCTTAAAAGTATTTCTGGAGTTCCTGGCACTCTTTTCACCTTCCCTGGCATCATGTGGAGGATGCAGAACACAATCCTTTTTTCTTTTCTTTTTAAAGAAAAGAAAGGGACGTGTGATTATGGTGGTAGCTTTGTTATGGCAATCTCCCTGCACCTAATGCCTCAGTGCTAGAGAGTCCCTATCCATTCCTGCTCCCTGAAATTCTGGTCCTTTTCAAATAGGGCAGGCCTGGTTCATTATTGTCTTCAGTTCTGACCTTACGCTTGTGGTTCCCCAGGAGACTGGACAGTGGGGTCTAAACAAACGTTTTTCCCAGTGCAACATGGGGGTCCCTATGGCTCCTTCTGGATGGAATATCTGAGAGCTAAAATCACCTGGGCATGAGAGCTAACCAGGACTCTGCATCTTTCTTTCTTTCCTGGCAATAGGTTGGCTGGTGACGGCCCCGGCTCTGTGAGCTTGAGTAAGTCAACTTTTGTTTCTTGAGCTTCCTGTCTGCAACCACATACCCCCAAGCACCTTAAATCTTAAAAAACACAAAGCCCTTGAACCATCCATTAGAGTGCAGGTGGCAAATCCTGACTTTCCCTCATGATTTCCCAGACTTTCCCAGTTGTTAATATCTATAGTAGGGCAACATATTTGGCTATATATGACAAGAATGGCCTGGCTCTGTGTTCTTGGGAGCTTTCTCCTATTCAGTCAGTGATCCTAAGACTGAAATTTTCCATAGAAATTGCCCCCCTTCCTTGTTCTGGACTAAAGTTTATTGATTGATTGAGTTTCTATTTGGTTGCAGCCTAATGACTCAGGATTGAGAGTGACAAATAAAATAAAACCAAGGTAAAAAGACAACCACTACAGCCATAACAGAATACCAGTTAAGGTTTCAATCCTATGCATCTCTTCCCGGAAAAGATGTCCTAGAGGTGTCCAGTATGACATCTAGAGAAAAGATGTCCAGCATGGCTGGCTGGAGAATGCTGGGAATAGTAAGAGTTCTTCCAACCCCCCCCCAAACAATCCCCCCCCCATAGGATTGGGCTCTAAATTAAACAAACCCACACCAGCTCCATATTGTCTGTGGAATGCCAACTCAAGAGCAGAGTTTTGCAGCTCTTCCAGAAAGCATCCCCGGCTGAATGTTGATGGCGCCCATTGCAAGTGGGAGTGTCCATTAGACCCTTTGCTGTGATCGAAACCAGCATTGATGAGTTTCAGATAGAAGCTTTTTGGCCTTGATTGCCACGCCTCCATCTCAGAGTAGGTCACATGAGTGACCCCAGCCAATTAGGGATCCCGCAGTGCATGAGATGCTCTTGCTTGGATCAGTAGCTGGTCAGATAGTGGTATCTCTGAGGACAAATGAAGTCACTTGAAAGGGAGCGTGGGGAAGGGTGACATTCGTGTGTTAAAGAGGAGTGCCAAAATTATTCGTCAGGAAGCCACCCCCATCCCCAAGCGACTACAGCATCACAGCTAAGCGCTCCGTCTTTCTCTTGTGCTTCTACAGCTGTGCTCAATGCCAGCGGAACTCCATATGGCCACGGAGGAGGATTCACCCTGGTTGACGGACTGGGCAGCGGAATGGGCATCAGTGCTGGCGGTGCAGGCAGCATGAAATCGACATTCACTGTATCGTCTGCGACAAGCAGGAGATCCATCAGACAATGAGCTCAACGAGCCAGGACCACCAGCGCCTGAGTGAACGCAGCCACATCTCCATCTCCCCACCTCCGACGACAGGGCAAGAAAGAAAATATCGGCCTGAAGAAGTTATTCTCTTCCAATAATAATTCTCTCACTGCACAATCGAACACTGATTATTGGAACGCTGCTTCTTCCTTCTGCAAATACCCTGCTCCCTTCCCACATCCCCCGCAAACAGCCTTGCTTTGGTGTTAATGCCACTGAGATCAAGGAGAGCTTTGCTGAAAGCGGGGTTAACCCAGGGAGCAAAGATCAACGTGGCCTTCCTGCAGCTTCTCTTTCTCTCCACATGTGGCTTGGAGAAGATTGGACTGTAGCTGGAGGGAAGGATCTGTCGGTTTCACTTTCTGCCATATTTGCATTTTTTAAACTCTCAAATTCCTTCCTTTACTTGGGGCAATTACTTGGGGCAATTTCTTATCAAAATGAAATCTGCACCATTCCCTAGATGGCACATATCTGGAGGGCACCAGGTTTTGAAAGTCTGGTCTAAACTAGTGTGGGAAATGTCACATTATCTGTTTTCGATGTAGAAATCAGAAAATGTGAAAGCAACAAAAACTACATAGGGAAAACTTTGGAGTTTTTTTCCTTTGTTTTGTGAAATGATGTATATTGTGATACATTAATTTTCTGTTCTGAGTTGTCATCATGTAAACTAGATCGAGGCTAAAATCCGATATCCACTTACCTGGGAATAAACCCCCTTTAAGACATCTTAAGTTTTTATGTGTCACAAAGCTGAGATAATCCTTTAACACGGTAATTAGGTAATCAAGTAACTTCTCAGGAGCTAGGAAGTCACTGAGAATACAATTATTTCACCAAGGGAATTCACTGAGAACCAATTTGTGCAGCAGCTTATAATCGAGGTTCCATGAACACAGAAGCCTCTGGCCATCTGGAATGGCTCCTTGTAAAGGCACCTGTGCAGGCCCTCTTCTGGCCCTCTTGCAGTGCATTCACTGCCGCTTGTCTTCATATCCTGCAGTACTGCCTAGCCTCTTCCGGTGGCATGGAATGACAGTGTTTCAGAGAAGGGAAGTCACTGCTGTCATTTGGTTCCTCTGTGTCAGAAGCACCTGGGCAGTGTGGGAATGAGCGAGAAACAGCTCTGAGGGGGCTGGAAGGGGATTCTTGCCTTGTTCCTGCTGCAGCAGTGAGAACCAAAAGCTGTGACGGGCGCTGCTGCACTTGTGAGCTTTCTTCATCGGTTCCTTTGGAGCCAAGTTACCAGGATAGATCAGAAAATCCACACGGTGTGAACTTTTTGAACTTCATGGATCTGTAGTATGTGGCATAATCAACAGATTGGCCTGTTTTTCCCTGTACATGTACAGACCACTTTGAATCACAAGATGCAACTTTCTGAGAGTGACACTGGATTAAAGCGGTGGGGATCAGGTTTAAGCTATAGGGGCAACAGCTGCTCCAGGTGCTCAGGCAGAAGGGAAGAAATGCTTAGGGGAATTAAAGCTGGTATGGACAGAGGAAGTCGAGGGAGGAAGTAAGTTGCATAGGCAAGAGAGGGAGGAAGCCAAACTGGGGGGGAGGGTGCAGAAAAAGATGAAAATGTGTAGCTCTAAAGATGAGTAAAGGTAAAGGGCTTCTATGGTAAAGGGCTTATATAAGTGCTCTGAGTAATGTGATTAAACTCTGCAAGGACGGTTCCTAAAACTGCACATAACAGAAATGAAATAGGATTTAGACTGAAAAGGCAAAACCCAGGAGGAATGTGAAAATGGAAATCTGTCCATTCTTCATTTTTACTTTAAGACAAATAAAGTATATATTTTAAAAAACAACAAAATTTGTTTTGCCCAGTGGGTCATTTTTGAAAGTCTATTAGTTTGGGTGAGATTTTTCTATGTCTTGCTGTTATACAGAAGAACGCTTCTGAAAGAAGAATAAAACAAACAAAACTTATTGCAAGTGCACAAATAAATTTGTGGAAGGCATGAATGACAACAAAAGGAAAAAGCCAACACAAGCCCCCTCTTTGGCTGATGCCAGCTGGTGATATCCTCCCATTTGAATTTGCCAGAATAAAATCATATCTTAAAGCCTATTCCTTCACTTTTTGAAAACTCACCTGTTTGCTGTTAGAAGCACAGAAGAAACGCCTCCACAAATTTCTGTTCCATGTTCCACCTTCATCTCTCTGAAGCTAATCCCTGCCTTCCATCTCAACTGAGCAACAGGCCAAGCCTATTCATGTCTACTCAGAAGCAAGTCTCACGTGGGTAATTGGGATTTGAGTGTATAGGATCAGGATTTTAAAGAATGAACACTAGGCAGCATGCTGGTTTCATGATGAGCGCCTTTGGCTAAGGCGAAGACCAGCATCCTGTGCTATTCTATTATGCACTTTGCATTACAGTGGAAACACTCCTTCCCTGTTATGTAGCAATGAATGGAAGTACCTGATCTGAGAGACAGGAGTGACCTACGGCTGTCTTCCCCTGCCGCCCCCCAAATAAAGTCAATCCACTGCTGCACCACAGATTCCTGTTATTTGTCAGTGTGGGAATTCTGCACACCAGAGAGAGAAAGAGAGAATTAGAGAGAGAGAGAGAGCAAAGCTGCCAGTCCAAACCCACGGCTGGTGGCGCAGTAGGGCAAAATTACAAGAAATGCCTTCGTTCTAGTTTTAAAGGGCAGCTGAATGGGAGGTGGGGCTTTGTAGCTGACCGGAAGGAGAACCTCCTCCTTCCATTCAGCTTCTAGAATCTACATTGTGACTTGCTCTGGGTTGCCCCCAGGCCAGCGTGGCTCCCCACTCCCCACTCCCAAAGGGACAGAGGGTAACTATTGGTGTGAGCAGGAGGGTAATTGCTGGTTGACAGAGCTGGGAAAGGCTTTCATCTTCCTCGAAGCAAGAGAACTAGTGTGAGGTGATGCTCGGAGCAGCATCTTCTCAGGGTGCTCTCAGGGTCAGTGGCAAGAGCCGAATTGAATTTCCTGGCACAGTTATGCAGTTCAGAGTGAGAAGCGTTGACCTGGATTCACTTTATGGTAAAGCAGGAATAGGCTCCCAACACCCCACCCTGGGGTTTCTCTTAAGGTATGCGTGTCAGGCATCAGGCCGAGAAACCAAATTTGTCCACCCTCGAGTGCTTCAAATGGCCACGCTCCTTTTCCCTGGCCCCCGGCCATCGTGGTTTCCTGGCTTTTGTGCAGCCGTCCCTCATTTTGAAAGGTTGAAATGCCTCTGCTTCGAATTAGCTATTGGCAGGAAGAACTGGATGCTGAAAGCTTGCTGGCACTTCTGGAATGTTGGTTCCGGTTCTTTTGCATCGCTCCAAGATCCTTCTCCAAAATGGAATTCATCGCACAGGCCGAAAGGGTTCAGCTTGCCCTCCTTAAGGGAACTGGGGGGATACCATGGCAAGAGCAAGCTGGCCACATGCTCACACAGTGCGGGATGTGCTCACCAGAAAAATGTGCGCCATTGTGGGCCCCAGCTCCTGGCTCTCCCCTCTGCACACTCGGCCCTGTCAGGGCTTTGGCCAGCATGTGGGCTGCTGCATGACTGGATCCATGCCCTGCGCCCCCCACTAAATGCATTCCGTCTGAAGCCAGTAGCGATTGCGGCTGCTTATTCAATCCGGTCGTGCCTGGTGCCACTGATGGCCTTGCTCTCCTATTCCCTGCAAACAGTTCTGCCCAACCTGCAGAACTGAATTCTCAGTGTGCCTTTGACCGCAAGTGATAAAGTTGCACAATGCAATGCTTTTCAAATATACACCGACACCAGACATGGAGATTTTCAACTCCTCTTTCATCAGTTTCTTAACCATGAGGGATCAGCATTATCTCAGCTTCTCTGTTAGATATTATCCAGGCCTTTCTGGCAATTGTTCTTGATCTCGTTCTTCAGAATTAATTTGAAGCTCAGAGGGAGAATCTATGCGTTCGCTTTTCAAAGACTCAGTCCACATAGACTTCCACTAGACATCGAGCAATGTACGTGCATATGTGGACCAATCAGACCCCACGTTTTCTTCAAAGGGGAATTTGTAGTACTCAGTAATGAAACCCAATCCCTTTGCTGATTTCCCCATTCACAGATGAATGGCAACTTTCGATAGTTTCACAGGGTTGTATCCAGTGTAGTCCCATTCACAGGCAACCCATGGAAGCGAATGGGACAAAGAGCAACAGCAGATATATAACTCTTAGTCATAAAGGAATGAATTCTGCACATGCTCAGAGGAACTAGCATTTGTTTCCAATGCATATATTTCTATACACTTTGCAGAATAACGAAGCTAAGGCATCCAGAAACAGCTCTGATGTTGGCAAGTGCATAATTGGCTTTACTCATATGTCTGGGAAGGAGAAGCATCCGTGGGCTCCTCGGGCTTGGCCAGCATTGCTTCTAGTTGCATGCAGAGCTTTTGCCAAACAGCACTCTACCCATGCTCAGAAGAACTCTTATTGCTACTTTGTATCTTCTCTGCCCGGATCCTGGCACGGAACAGATTATTTTTCTCCCTGAGGCAGAGATATCATCACCAGTGGAGGGCAATAAAGATGGCGAGAGTCTGGTAAGCAAGTCCTGTGAGGAAAGGTCAAAGGAGCTGGGCATCCTTCACTGGCAGAAGAGGAGACAGAGCAGCAGGAGGGATGGTGGCAGCCTCCAAATACTTTTAGTTACGTGGAGGAGAGCACAGACACATTCTCTGCTGCCACGGAGGTCACACAGGACCGAACGGGCTTAAGCTGGAGGAGGCCAGTTGTGGTTGAGCATTAGGAGAGATGTCTGAACAGCAAGAGCAATTCAGTAGCGATGGCCACCAGTTTGGATCTCTTGAAAAGGGGGCTGGAGAGATCCATGGAAGGGAAAGCCCTCCACCGCTGCCCGTCCTGAGAGTTCGGTGTTCCCTCCAGCATCAGAGGCAGGACGCTTGTGTACACCTGTCGCCGAGGAGGCTGGGCCAGGGGGTGCTGTTGCCCTTGTGTCCCACCCGTGGGTGTCCCACCTGTGGCTGACTACTTGATGAGCCCTTGTCTGAGCCAAGGCGGCTTTTTATACGTTGTTAGAAGTGGATCCAGTTATGCAGGTGGGTGAATCTCTCCCTTACTCATACCCGGGAGGTCTTTAGAAGGCTTCCAGCTGGGGATGGTCTTGCCCTGCTTTTCCTGCATTGAGCAGAGGACT